TCTAAATTTGATTTAAAGATTCGGATTCCAGACAAAATTCTACCCCTAATTCATAACTCATACGTTGAATTTGGCGAATTTTTATTTTGACCTACTTTTTGGACACGCCATAACTTCGGAACCGGAAGTCGGATCGAAATTTAGTTTGCAGATTCGGATTTCTCAGAAAATTCTATTCTTATTTCATAACTCAAACGTTAAATTTGGAAACGTTTTATTTTGACCTACTTTTCGGACACGCCATAACTTCAGAACCGGAAGTCGGATCGAAATTTGGTTTGCAGATTCGGATTCCTGACAAAATTCTACTCCTAATTCATAACTCATACGTTAAATTTGGAGAACTTTTTATTTTGACCTACTTTTCGGACACCATATCTCAAAAGTGGGTCAAAATACTTTCTGACGGCAAAAAGCTAACACTATTAGCACACTCTTGGCTACATGTATACACAATTTCGAAGAATATAATTGAAGTGTAGTGTCAGAATCGCAAAAATAAGGAAAACCTTTGAATTTGACCTAGATTTTGACCTAGGCATTTTGGTGTCCAAATTTTGAAGCTAGATGGCTTTTGAGATCCCCTTCTTTTGAAGGCTTTCATTAAATTAAGCTGAACTCAGTCTATATTTCGAATTTTTCACTTCAAAAAAATCTTTTTTCCCATTGACTTAACATGGGCACCAAATTTAGCGATTTTTGAGTTTTTAAAACGCCAAAACTTCCGAACCGGAAGTTGGATCGAAATTTGGTTTGCAGATTCGGATTCCTGACAAAATTCTACTCCTAATTCATAACTCATACATTGAATTTGGAGCATGTTTTGGTGTGACCTACTTTCCGGATGCCATATTTCAAAATCGGTAAGAGTAATCAAAAAACGGATGGCACACTTATGAAAGGGCTGTTTGTAAGCTACAGGATGAAAAAAAGATGAAGACGTTTCGAGAAATAACAACGAAGATAATAGACAGAAGGGTGAAAATGTAAGATTTGACCTAGTTCTTGACCTTTGACCTAGATAAAAATTTGACCCAATTTCCCACCAACTAGATACTGAACCTAAATGAACTGTATAATGGTCTTTACTGGATACCTTATAGTTATTGAAAAAACTCTTAAAGAAAAATAATAAGAAGAAGAAGAAGAAGAAGAATACTGGCAAAAACAATAGACTCCAGATTGACATCTGGAGTCTAATAATAAAGGTAAAATCAGAGGGGGTCTGACCTGCGGAAGCACCTCAATCTGTCAGTGACTGGAGAAGGTCATTCATTGTTAAAAACAAGAACACAATAGGGTGCCTTTCAAAACAATAGGATTACAAAGTATTTATGCATGACTGATCAGCAAAGTGAAGTTTAGTATGCTCTGATACATTATAGCTTTATAATGACAAGTCGATTTAAAAATCGACAAAAATCAAGAAATTATTCAAGTTTTTGTGAAAATATGTGAAAATTACTCATTCTAAGAGTCAGAATGACATGTGTTAAGAACCACTGTAAAAACAACTTTTTACCATATTTTGGATATTATTTTTGTGATTTGTTGAAAATATACTTCATAAAGAATCATATTATATAAAAATAATTCTGGAATTCAATTTTACCCTTTTCAATAATTTTCTAAGTCTTTATAGGTACACTAATGGGTACGGATCCTTTGGTGCGTTCCTAAAAAACTAAACTATGGAAATGGAACCCTCCCACACTAAGGAGAACAGATAATTCTACTATTCCAAATCTCAAAAGAGTGGCGTGTTCAGCATCGTAAAAAGAAAACCTGTGAATTGTTGATGAAAGCAGCAACAGATAAGATGAGTCAATCCTCATCATGCAGAGAACATGTTTTGAGAAAAGCAGCATGAATTGGAGACAAGATTATAAAACTAAATAAACAACAAATTTTCCAAAGTCCATACCCTGGTAGGACATAAACAAAGTCAATTTAAATGAATATTGGAGGATCATGTAGTGGATTTCATTAAAAATACAGGTGTGGAATGTCTGTTAGGAGAACAAGGAACCAAAGCTATACACAAAGTATTCAATTAACTAAATCGACCAATGTGCTCCATAAAGCATCCAGTCAATCACCTTAGTTGTACCCTGTCAGAATTCGAACTGATTTGCCAACCTAAAATCATCACTTGTTAACCTGTCGTTTGATTCCGAAAACATAAGCACTCAGCTAAATCAGAAATAATCGAAACAGGGCCCTAATCAAGATGGGTGAGTTTTGAATCACTTGTATTATCATACTAATATAAATTAATCCTCACCTTAACAAACACACCAAAACCTGTGTACATGCATCTCAGAAATACATACCAGGTCGATCAATAAGTTCTGAGAATTTTCCTCTAAAATCAAGAGTTTTGTGAATTTTTATTTGAAATTTTCACAGAACATGTAATATGAATTCAGCAATTAGTGTAAGAAGTTAAATGCACTTTCCACCTATTGGGCCAAAATTATGGTTACCATGGTAACTCGTGTTTTGGGTAGGCGGGGCAAGTATTTTTAACGTAAATAAATTTTTTTAACATCAAGCAACAATCTTATGTTTCAACCAAAGCATTGGATTTCAATGAGGATTTTGTTGTTTTTATAACCATCACTATGGTAACAATTTAATATGACATCATAATTCAGGACAAATTACATAATATTACTATTACATCATAATTCCACAACCTCAATGTACCCTGCCAAAATGGCCGCTCCAAAAGATGCTAAAAATTTGGAAGAAAATGAGGAAATGTCAATACAGATGCGCAGTGCCATACGATTTTGCGTGCTTGGTGGCAAAAGTAAACAAGAAACACTCAAGGAGATGTTGGTAGCCTTTCCAGGCAGGATATCCACTAAAACTATTTACAGATGGTATGGCAAATTCCAAAGTGGGAGAACCAGTGTAAAAGATGAAGCAAGGTCAGGAAGGCCACTATCTGTTACAAAGCCCACAAATATAATGAAGCTCAAGACTGTCCTTGATGAAGACAGGCGAATAACAATCAGGCAGTTAAGTGAAAAAGTAAACTTCAGCTATGGAAGGACACAGTACATACTGAAAGAGAAGCTCCATACGAAGCTTGTGTGTTCTAAATGGGTGCCAAAAGATCTAACCATGGACCAGAAGCAGCGCCGGGTCGATGTTGCACAAGACTTCCTCAGATGATACCAAGCAGAGGGGGAGGCTTTCTTGGAGCGCATTATTACTGCTGATGAAGTTTATGTTTCATATTATGAGCCAGAAGGCAAGAGGGCCACAAGTGGATGGAGAACAAAGGACTCCCCTACCCCTATGACGACCATTGCTAAACTCAATCGTAGAGATGGCAAGGTTATGTTCATCATTTTCCTGGATATCTACGGGGTACTCCTGGTGCATGCAGTCGCTGAAGGACAAACCATAAACAAAGACTATTATGCTATGGTAAGTTAGTGTGTGGCTATTGATGCCCTTCAGGATCATGTCTTGCCAGAGAATTTATGTTCACTCTAGTCTAGGTAGTTCAGCTTGAATGTACATGTAGTTTAAATACATCTAGTGAGGGAATGGTGCCCTAAAAATCACTTCTTTTTTCAGGTATTGAAACGTCATCTTAAGCGGGCTATTGCACGAAAACGCCCTGAAACAGAGCTGTCGTCATTACTTAATCATCACGACAATGCCCCGTCCCACACATCTTCGATTGTCAAAAGCACTGTATCTAATGACCTTCAGATGGAACAACTACCCCATGCTCCCTATTCACCAGATGTTGCGATCTGTGATTTTGGTGTGTTTGGACCGATGAAAGATGAGCTGAGAGGATTCAGATATGCGAACTTTACAGACCTCCACAATGCCGTGCAAAATGCCCTGAAAAAACGTTTCCCAGATGGATTTAGGCACTTGTTCCGCCAGTTGGTTCAACGCCAGGAGAGGTGTTTTAAGAACCGAGGAAATTACTTTGAACATCTTAATTGAACCCCCTTGACATCTTACTAGGACTATATGACCAACCCTAATGCAGGAAGCAGCTCAGAACTATATTTATAATTGATTTATAAATGATTTATTTACATTTTATGCGCTTTACTTCTGACATTAAAATTATTTGCCCCGCCTACCCAAAACACAAGTTACCATAGTAACCATATTTTTGGTCCAATAAAAGGAAAGTAAGAAAAACTTGGTACACTAATTGCTGAATACATTCTACATATTCTGTGAAAATTTCATTCAAAAAGTCACAAAACTCTTGATTTTAGAGGGAAATTCTCAGAACTTATTGGTACATACAAACATATACTCAAATAATGCTAATATGATTTGCTGGTACTACTGTTTCAAAGATAGAATGGATATTTAGCCCAAGAGTTCCTAAGTGTGAATTCTTTTGATACGCTGTATATGTTTCTATGTTGGGCTAATACTTGAATTACAGTGCTGTAATTAGTTAATTAGTCATTATTATTATTCATTAAATAATTGATGAAATCTATTATATGATATAGCATTTTTACTTTTTTACATCAACATATTAAATTTCATGTTCTAATTTTAAGAAACATGATTTTTGTACTTAAAGTTTACTTTTTGCTGAGTTTCTGAGTTTTTTGATATCTATATATTTAAGATTTAAAGGAGTTGCAGCGGAAAGCTCAGATGACCAGATGAGAGCTTAATTCTTAGCATCTAAATCCTGTGAGGAAGACTCTCTGAAGACTTGTGTTGAAAATGCCCCCTAAGCTTCAACTAAGACCCCATCCATTCCTTCTAAATCAAGATCCAAAGAAAGTCTATCTCATTTAACACCCATCCATTCCTTCTAAATCAAGATCCAAAGAAAGTCTATCTCATTTAACACCCATCCATTCCTTCTAAATCAAGATCCAAAGAAAGTCTATCTCATTTAACACCCATCCATTCCTTCTAAATCAAGATCCAAAGAAAGTCTATCTCATTTAACACCCATCCATTCCTTCTAAATCAAGATCCAAAGAAAGTCTATCTCATTTAACTTGACAAATCACAACCAAGTAGGCTCCAACAAGGATCTCTGTCCATCTTACACATATGACCCCTCTACAGATGAAGACGTAACAGGCACATCCAATGGCCCATCTCTCCCTCCCCCACTCAACCCATCTACAGTTCAGGACGTAACAAGCTCCCCTCAAGGTCCATCTCCTCCTCCACCATTCAACCTATCTACAGTTCAGAACGTAACAAGCTCCCCTCAAGGTCCATCTCCCCCTCCTCCATTCAACCCATCTACAGTTCAGGACGTAACAAGCTCCCCTCAAGGTCCATCTCCTCCTCCACCATTCAACCTATCTACAGTTCAGGACGTAACAGGCTCCCCTCAAGGTCCATCTCCCCCTCCTCCATTAAACCCATCTACAGTTCAGGACGTGGCAGGCTCAAACCAAGGTCCATCTCAACATACTACATTCAACTACTCTACAGATTCTCAAGGTTCTCCCAAAGATCTTCTGGACCAACATTCTACACCTCCACAGTTCAGGATCATACTGGCTCATTTCAACCTTCCACATTCACCCCTCAAAACCAAACAGGACAATTGACACCATTAAATGCACTTTCTGGACCCTCAACTGTTTAGGACCAAACAGGCCCATCTCTGTATTGACCTCATTTATATAATACCATATGTTGTACTAACTGACCACTGACCACATGTACCCATATGTATCATCTTACCAGGAGACATCCTGGTTCATCAGTTATACAAATGTACACCATGAGTGAACACACTATATCTTGTGCTTGTCATTATTATATTCTATAGACTCACATCAATAACCAATCAATATCTACCGATCTATAAGATCATTACAATCTCAACCTTCCACATTCAACCCGCTTGTACCTCAGAACCAAACAGGACACTCCACACCCTTAAATTCTGCTTCTGGGGTGATATTACAATCATCTCTTCACTCTCCCAGTTCAGCTTTTATGAATTTTTCCCAATCAATGACACCTCAGAGAGTTTCTTACCAACAACAGCTAACAACCAACATCCTCCTTTAATTACCCTGACAGCAACATGTCAGCTGTGAACAATCACTCATTCTCCTCAGGGCAAAGTAATAATACATTTCCAAAATCACAGCCTTATGGTGCTTATAATTATCAACAGCCTATATGATGCCCCATTTGTGCATAAAATGTTCGATACATTTGCTCGGTAACATGAGACTAGCACTAGCCAAGCAGCATGAAGAGACTCCGAGTATACACAAAAGTATGTTGTTTATCTTACCTAAACTTTGAAATATTTATAGAAAATTAGCCCAATTGATTGATTATTCCTTTATGTTATTGTTATTTATTATTAAGTTCTGCATGTACATATTTATTAAGCTTATAACATCTTAAAAATGTTGAATAATCTCAATCCCCTCTGTCTAAGAATAAACTGTCATTTCATGAGTCAAAAATTTGACCTCAAACATAAAATTTATTTCAACGACCTTTTGCAGGTGCTATTAATATTGTGGTACGCCTAGCAGGGGGACAAAGGGAAGTATTGTATAGCAACACCATACAGCAAATGGTTGAAAGATAAATCCCACCATCCCCAACAAAGCAAGCAGAAACAGACAAGTCAAACTCCCCAGCTACACCACAACCACACCCTCTTGTGACAACAGATAGTCCACATGGGAAGGAGATAATGGCAAGAAATAGAATAAGTTTTACAGTAAATTTGCTGCAAATAAACTTACATTTTCACATATTATTACAAAAAGTATGATTGAGTATGATTTACAACACATTTCACCAATCAATTTATTAGGATTGCCCACTTGGTATAATATTAACATTTTAATAACAATTATTTTAAATACAGCACAAATGATACTATAAATATTCTATTTTGCAGGTTTTGTTGTGCCTAGCTACAATTCTACAGAGTAAGGCTAGGGAGAAAATGGTGAGAAAACATCCAAAATAAAAAGAGAAACCCTTTATTGACAAAATAATTATTCCACTGGATATGGACATTTAAGATGCAATAATAAAGAAGCAGAGGAAAATAGACGGTCTACTTTCTTTCTGTTCACTCTGTACAACAGCCATCTTGGGTCTCTTGGTCACTTGTAAAATACAGATAACCTTCAAAATACCTGTTCACTCCAAAGTGAATGCTGTATTTTCAGGAAAACAATATGTTTTCGGCCTACAAATTTATGTATCTGCTCTAAATAGGCTTATGTCTTATGGAAATAGGACCTCATTTCTATAAGACATTTCTCACTTAAACATTGTCAAAATCTGTGAAATATTTAAAATGTATGCAAATCAGGTATTGCATGAGAATAATAATGATAACTGTTGATTGGACAAGTATATATTGTCTTAAAGAAAAGTATCAGTTAGTCTAAAGTAAAAACCAGCGACATAACCTGCTCAGATTTCATAGAATACACATCAATCTATTAACTCAAAAATATAATCAATTGGAAAAGATACAAAAAAGAAAGGAAAGATCAGGCTATCAGCCCTTTGGCTGAAGTGAAATCAGGAGAGCTTGAAGCTTTCAGAAAGTGGAAGAAGGGACAGTTCAAGTTCAAGGGACAGAAAAGGATCAGTCAACTAAAAGTCCTAAAGTATTCACGTGTAGAAATTGCCAAAAAAACTTTACATGGAAAAGAAGGATCTACTAACTCACATTTCTAAATGTGCAGAAAGGCCTATGACCTTTTATGAAGAAGATACATCCGAGATCTGTGATCTGTGATCTTAACTACTGCCAAAGAAAGACACTTATGAGACAATGACATTTTTAGTGGATGCTGTCTCCAGAAAGAAATTATTAACATTTGCCAGTGACAACGATATCACAAGAATATCCAAACTGACGACAACATCACTGGGTGGTGTAAAAGAAACAAAGACCATCATCTTGGCAGAGACACCATTTTAAACTTTACAGGTATTTGTTCCACAGAACTAATTAAAAGATTATATACATGTAGCTGAACATTATGTGCATTGTTGCAGAGAACTGGAGTATTTTGTAGCTGTTATGAACATTTTGGATATTTTACTGGAATTGGATTTTAACATGACTTTCTACAATGGATTATAAATGGAATACTTATGACTATTAGTGACATATTTTAAACATTCATAAAACTATAGTTTTAAATCTACTATTTAGACACTTTTGAGGATTCACATTTTGGTTGAAATAAAAATAATATATTCTTAACTTTGTATAAATATGTAAATTTGCAAATATTGATCCATTGTGACTCAGGAGAGTCATGATGTTTAGAGGGAGGCTGTGAAGCATTTTACATGTATTTCACTTCATTTTTGTAGATTTCAGGTATCATTATTTGCTGTATTCTATCTTGTATGAGATGGTCAGTGTGTTTAGGCAGGTGTATAATTATACCTGTCACTCAATGAGCCACCTGACCTAGCCCATGTAAGAGTGGGGACCATCAGTGCTTGTCAGAGCCAGAATTGAGTTTAATAAGTAATCATCATCCTACTTTCATTATGTACAATATATTTTATACAAGGATAAACTTTAGAACTTAAATCTGCTTGTGTTTGTTGTTTTTAATGAATCATATGCTACCAATAATTCCCCTCAAATTCATGCTAAAAGAACCCAAATAAAGCAATATAAAAAGGCTTCAATACCAATATTTGGACAAAAATTAAATTGGATTACTAGTAACAAATGGATTATATGAGTTTTAGAAACTGAAACTAGGAAAATATAGACTTCAGATGTATGTAATTTAAAAAGCTTTTTCTACATGATGATCATCTAATCATTTTAATTTACCATAATGTCAGTAGCATTATGGACATAATGTCAGCAGCATTATGACCTTCATTTACATAGCTTATAATACATCTATTACATTCATTATCCTTCGTGATGTCAGTAGCACTACGAAATACATTACTGCCTACTTTGACACATTTTGTTAATTATAATTAAAAAATTTGTGGCATAATATTTCACACACCTAAAATCGACATTCGAGTTTTATTATAAAGTCAATGTACTGCCAAAAACAATTACTTCCAGGTACTAATGCCTCCAAAAATGAAAGTCACAGTGACGAAATAGTACAAGAAGTTGTGGGAAAACTAATGCCGACGATTAGCGCACTTATCGAAAAACAAACAATATTGAATAATACGAACACATGATTACCCATTGAAGTCCAACTTGTACTTAAAGCCATATTTCATCGGACTCTGTTAAAGCTAAGACTAGACTTTCATATCAACATATCACCGGGATGTTGTTCATTCAGCAGATTTAATTTCATTTAAATCTTAACTATTTTACCATATCAAAGTACGATTTAAAAAAGATATTTGAAGAGTTTTGTAAGTGAATTTGCAGTTGAACATTGCAGTCTGGCATGTCTTCTGAATACAGCGGTATGTAATCAAAGAGTTATTTCATTAGGAATTAATTATCAGATTTTAAATCTACTTGGTATAAATGTGGTTTAATCTGTATAAGTGTAAACAAAGTAGCAAGCCAGCATCAGGGGGTAATTAATCATGTCCACTGCTGACAGTAAAGAGTTTTGAGTTGCTGGCATGTGGATCTTAGTAGCTTACATGTAGTAGTGGGAGAATAGCGCTTTGCGCTGAAAGAAGGAACCATGGAAGTGTTAAAGGCTTATGGTTTTAATTCAATCCTTGCCTGAAAAACCATGCTCTCTGAAGACATCAAAACTATGAAAATAAAACCTCTGGGTCAGGCACGCTTGTAAGACAGTGGTTTCCGGAACTAGAATCCAATAGACAGGGTCCTACAGTCAATGGACCCCAGGGTCAGGACAATGACCCTCATCTCAAAGTTGGGGCAGGACCTCAGAAGCTTATTGCCAGAGGCTAACGTACCAGTAAAATGGAACCTCCGCTTCACCTCCTTCCTCCCCCGAGGCTTTGATCCCCATCTCAGCTTAAAACTAGACAAAGGTGAGAAGTCCTGTTTTATTAGGGATTGGATTAATAGTACCCCCATACTACATGCATTTGAGGAATCTATCATCAATGAAATGGGAGGGACCTTCCTTATCTTAAAGCGATTGGGTACGAAAAAGCCAAAATTAGAGGATGTTACACCCCACCAATGGTGCCTAGCACCAGTTGGGATACTAGCCCATATGATAGAAACATAAAAATTAACTGGTTCTGTAACAGATTATCTCACTTACATGGAAAGAATATCTCAATTTGGCCATATGTTTCATGGATTTCAGTCCTCAGATATGACAATGAATAGCATTACCTTCAAGTCCAGCATAAATTCAGATGGGGCATTGATGTGCAGAGCCTCAAAACAGAGCTGAAACATAAAAGGGTGCTAGCTGCAAGGAAACCCCCCCACTAAAAGCTTGCCCCAGGAAAAGGCAAAGAAACCTCCCACAGTCTTTATATCAACCTCAGGCAAACCATTGTGTGGATTATATAACAAGGGTGAATGCACCTTTTCCCCTCATAAATATGAACAAATGTGTTCTACATGCTTCGAGGAGGATCATGCCAGACACTTGCATGGTAATGTGTTTCAGGTGCGCTTGTGGGGAATTAATATTTCCCAATTCAACAATTTAAACAGGGTTTTTGTTGTTTTTAGTGAACAAATCGTACAAAATGGTGGCCAATTACAACGAAAAAGTGGAGGAATTGGATAGCGATATTGAGCTTTTTAGACACATTTGTTTGTAAGAAATGTATACTGCTTTTGGTTATTTTTGTGGTAGGTATTGCCAAGAGATGTACTGCAGATCTTCCTAATCTTCTGCCAGGTTCACGAGGGGTTCAAAAGATCAAGCTATCCATTCAGACCATTAGCAGATCATCATTTCAGCATACACATATATGGCATCGACACTAGTACCACATTAAACCTATTGATCAGTTATTTCAAGAGGCAATCCTTTGAAGTCAACTGAGTTGCAAAACACAAAACCTGGAGACAATATAAAATATGTGCCAGTTCCTTATTAATAAAATATACAACAATCAAATCCTACCTAGCCGGAATAAGGAACATGGCAAAGGAACTTATTCAATAATGGCAAAGGAAGCCTAAAATTACAATTGGTTTTGAGGCTTCCTTTGCCATTATTCATATTCATATTCATCAGATACAGACTCTGACTGTGCCGATGTTAATCAACTGTTTGTTGGTGTAGTATCGGTGGTATCTGTAAACTCTGTAAATTCTCATAGATCACTAAAGCAAGTTGGACAAAAAATGCTAAAAACCGAACGGATAGGGTTTTACAAAAAATAAGGGATGCAAAGAGAACAAACAGAACTATTATTTTCATGATACAAGGAGGAAACCGAATCTGCCAAAAAGCTTTTCAAAAACTATATCGTATTGACAAGAACTTTCAATTCAATTCAATTTATTCCTTAATAATATAATAAAATACAGTACATATAAAAGGTTTAACAGGTGACATCATTTCTGATGTTTATACCCGTACATGTTAAAGCATAATATTACGAATATTAAGAACAAGGTAAGGTCAAGGAATTACTTCTACTACAAAGCTGTGCGAACTTTTGACGAGATTTCTGTCTCATGTGGGTACAGAAAGAGACAAAAACACCAACGTCTGTTTATGAAGACGCTGTTCCATGCCGACAGAATGCCAGACTCTGATGAATACCTTCTACCATACAAAACCAGAAAAGATGCCGTATACGAGCGATACGAACAAGAGAGATTGATCAAATTCAAACACTTTCTTAGCAAGACAAGCTTTATGAGAATGTGGGATATGGTTTGACACTTAAAAATTAAAAGGGTAAATTGATTTTGCTAGTGTCAAAAAGCATCAGCGTATTGTACACTTATTGTTTTGGGCTTCACGTTACACAGACGGTTTTGGCATTCTTTAAGATGAATTTTACTCTTAAATCCTTAACCCAAATATCTACAGTAAATTTCTGAAACAATTGCCAAAACATTACATATTCATCATGTTTTATATGGGAATATACATCACTCCCCATGTCTATACATAACAATGAGTAATGCAGTTCAACTATTTTCCAGTCAAATACATTCACTAAATGTCACAATGCGTTGGCTTGAACAGGTGACTTGAAAGAACGTTAAATACCCAGAGTAGGCGTGAAATCAAACAGGCAATGACAGAACATAAAAACGAATGTGAGTACCTGGTTATTAAATCATATTGTCAAGGCTTTATCTTAGCTGAGAGTGAAAAACATGAACATAGAACGTGACGGAAATTCACGATATGTAAGGAGTCTGAAAAGATATATGAAGCCCCAATGGGAGATCATTCAACATACTTTATTTTCTGCTCATTGTATATGAGGTCATGGAGACTGCAAATTGTCAATGCTGTAAGATCCGTAGAGGTCAAGCAATTTTTCTTGCAATGCTCATGTTATGGCAAACTTTTATACCTACGTGACCATGTCACAGACTTAAAACCTTGCATATGGTGGTTGATTTGTCAGAAATATCCTAAATGTCAAAGCCAGTGTAAAACTATGATGCAATTGATATGTAACGCCCATGTATTAAATACGAACAACTTCAATGGTTCAAAACTATGTATATTGTGTAACCTCTGTGAAACTGAAACAATTGAACATTTTATATTAAGATGCCCTATGTATGAACCATATAGGCATAACATATTTGAAGCCCTTGGCTGTCGTGGTGACAGTATGGGTGTTATTATGAAGAAAGTTTTAGGTCTCTCAGATGTTTCATGTGAGACGTTAATAATTGTATCATCATGTGTACACAAAATGTACAATCACAGAGCCAACCTGTTGGCTCTGCTTGACACATAATTTCTCTATCACTTTATTTTTATGTTTTCCAAAACAACAACTTTTTTATCACATAATTTAATCTTATCCTTGTATTTTATATTTTATATGTAAACCATATGTATACTAAAATGTATTCTCTCATATAAATGAGGCAATAAATATACAATACAATGAGGGATGACAATAAACATGTCTTATTGACACTGCTACAAAATATAAAAAGATTGGCGATGTCACTTAAACTAGCTCTAATGATATCTTTCTGCCATACTTTAGACAACCAGGATTCTTTCATAGCTGACAGGCAAAATCTGAATTCTCAACAGCTTAGTCAACAGTGGGGAGAACAACTATCAAAATTCATACAAAACAGCTGTGCATCAAATGCGTCATTCCAGCTTTATGTAGATATGATACAACACTGTGAAGAAGTTGTTGCCCTAGCAGTTGCTGAACGGCTTGGTGGAATACAGGGTTATGATTTGCTCTTGGCAGTTGTCAAGTCATCTTTACCATTTTTATCCCTCAATGGAGCAGCCTCTTATGCCTGATTTTGTACAAAGTTGTTACATGAACATGCATCTGCAGGACATTTTCATCAGGAAATGAAAAAGTGTTTGTTTTCAACACCTATAGGGAACAGCACTGAGAACTTTGCATCTGACACAAAAAGAGAGCTAGACCACACAGATGTTCATAAAAGCTTTCGCTCAGGCTCCAACATCAGCTCAGTACATTATAGAATGTCCCTGGTTGACAGCTTTGAACAGTGTGCTCATGATTCATATAGTCATACACTTGACCCTGCATTTGATGACACTGATGCAAAGCATATAATACCAACTGCAGCTTTGATACTTAGACGTGGTCTTGATCTTGTAGCCAGGGCAAAAAAGAGTGCAGGAACAACAATCAGAAGAGTTGAACGCAGCAGAACAGAAAAATTCATAAAAAACGCCTCATAATGAGAAGATAAAGGAATGAGACTGGTAAAGAGGAAAGCTGTTCAAACAGATTGTTTGACTTCTAAAATGAATGCATGTCAGGCATTGGTCAAACCTAATTGTGAGAAACCTTCTGTTATGAAGGGTACAACTACATGTACTGCCCTTGTGTCATTTCTTAAGCAAAAGGGCATTAGCACATCATTAATCCAGAAGAAAGTCCATGCAGAATCCACCCTTAACCCCACAGAAATAGACTGTGTGGCAAGAAAGAAACCCGTTGGAACTAAGTATAACAAGGGTAAGTATTGTGTTAGTTATATTTTGGTCATTCTTTGATGATTATAGTTTTTTTTTCATGCAGAATCCACCCTTAACCCAACACCAATAGCCGGTGTAGCAAGAAAGAAACCTGTTGGACCGGTTAAGCATAACAAGGGTAAGTATTGTGGTAGTTTGCAAACCATTACCAAAGACTACTCCATTGGATTAGACACAAGCATATTTTGAGATGGTTCCGTATTGAACATGATACAATTATGTATCTCAAAATACAATATTCATGGATTCCAATAAAATTGTTGTGAGGCATGCTGAAATCAATTGACCAATAGCTCATGAAATGACACATCTCAGTATGTTATCAACGAAAAAAATAAAAAAGGCTATTTTGTAATATATGGATTAAAAAATGCAGGAATTGCTTTTTGATGTACTGTCATATGGCAAAACCCAACTAAATTATGTGGATTTCTTCTGTTACAGGGAATGTTTAATAATGGTGATTTAAAGGGAATTTTTTTTTCTTTTATTTTCAGGAGGTTGAGATAAGGGTTCTTGATACCACTGTTCTGGCCATATCTATGGCCTATCAGGAGGACTTGTTAGGGTATGTAGACTATGACCCCAATGACATGGACAGAGATGTCAAAAAGGGATTTAGGCACGCAGCGTACATGCAGTTTGTCCTCTTGGAATGGGGAAAGCTGGGAGCTGGATCACGGGTAGTGATACCTAGTTGTTGTGTATGGAAAATAGGGGACAGATTCCCTGATCCATTCAATAGATATGTTGGTTTCAAGTACTCAGATTTGAGAATACCAGGAGAGGAACAATAATAGAGGAGAACACAAGTTAAAAAAAAGCTGAATAATATAACTTTAGAACAGCATACCTTTACATAAAAATATTCTGATGTTTTTAAATATCTTGATTTGATAAATGTGGATGCTAAAGGGGGACCAAAGACAATGCTTAAGAGGTGGATTGGATTAATGTAAAATGGATTTGATCTGTAATCTTCAAAATATGGAATTTCCAGTTCAAAGCTCATATAGAAATCCCTCAACAGGTAATATATCCATTTACTAGAGTGGAAATAAAACTTAGTTCCCTCAGTAATTGTTTTATTTACTAGGGTAGAAATAAATATTCCTCTTTAAGTAACACTCTTTACTTTACAAGTAAATTTTACACACCTCAGTAATAGTTTTATTTACTAGGGTAGAAATAAATATTCCTCTTCAAGTAATAGTCTTTACTTTCCAAGTAAAACAGAAGACTTCTCGGATAATATTAATGAAGTAATAAGATTTATTGATTAACAAGTTCATTACAAATTCAAGAAATGTACTTCCAACTGAAGTAATATAATTTTTAGATAATGTAATAAAACAATTACTCTGGTCAGTAATTACATATCAGTTTTAATTCCTATATCTAGTAATGTTATGTTCAAGTAAATGAATTACTGACCACAGGGAAATATGTCAAGTAATTATTTGTCCTTCTGAATGAATGATAAGCAATTTTTTTTACTGGTACCAATGGTTTACCCAATTTAAATACTAACCTAGTATTATAATTACAAAAATGTCATCTCTTAAGGTACAAAAACAATTATATGGCCTTGTAATTTAATTACACGAAAATGTAAAAATAATACAATCTGAAGTATATAATGTTTAAAGTGTAGCGCAATCAGCAAATCACCAGTGTTATGATTCGGTCAGTACGTAATTATATTTAATTATATATAATTACTTTATTATTTATTTATTATTTATTATCCAATATAAAATACCATTTATATTCAGCATATTCAAACATTGTAAAGATCTTGCTGCTTTCTTATGATTAATGACTATTTAGACCTCAGTTTGCTTTAGTGCAGGGGAATCCCTACGCTACTATATTCAGCCAAAATAAAGATATATCAGAAGAATTCTGACAAGTTAAAACTTCCAACAACCAATCACAACTCAGAATTACGATTTGAATCTTGCTTACATAAGCATGAAATCAGCAATATTCTTACTTATATTTGCACAATTTTGACAGGTAAAATAATGTATTTTACCTGGTATATAAAGAAGCCGGCAAGATCTGTTGATTCAGTAAGTTTTACTCACTCACTACGATGCTCAACAATTGATGAAAGGAGAAACAATAACAAGCGAATCTACCGAAACTCGGCTGGCCGGATCAATCTCAAGAAGAATTGGAATTTGAAATAAAAATTAAGAAACAAAACAAATGAGTCGTGTTCAATTAGGTAGTCAGGAACCCTGCGAGTACCGAAGGACCACAAGATCCCGAGATAACAGTTACGAAACGTAACAATTGGTGGAAGCTGCCCTAGGTAAAAGAAAGAACGGTTATGTAAGTATAAGCTAACTGCATGAAAAAAGCATGTTTTCATCGTACATCATACTAACATAATTTTTTCTCTAAAATGCCAAGCGAGAAGTTAAGTTTAGAACAAATGATTAAATACCGTTCATAAATCAGTGGTTTGTAGGAAAACAGGGTTCGAATGTATATCATAATAAATCGTAATAGATGATAACACGAAGAGTAACTAACAATATGGAAGCTATAGATGCTAGGTTAAGACAATTAGAAACAGCTCAGAACCCAGATTTACAAGGTCAGTTAGATCAATTAATAGCTAGACAAGGTAATAATGCTGAATTGCAAGAAAGATTAAATAGGTTAGAAAATCAAACTCAAAATAGAAATGAAATTGAAGGTAAAAATAGAATAAAAACATTTGATGGTAATTCTTCGGATATCGACCCGCTGAATTGGGTTAATAGGTACAATGCCTATGGCGATTTACAGGGGTGGAACAATGAAAGAAAAGCTAGAGCCATGCGTATGTTTTTGGGAAGTCAAGCCGAATTATGGTATAATAATCTCCCAGAAGACACTCAACATGATTTTGAAGCACTTCAAACTGCTTTTACGCAATATTTTGTTGGAAACAGGCCAAAATGGAACATACAAGCTCAATTACTCTCGAGAAATCAGAAACCAAATGAATCAGTTGAAGAATTCATGACTGATATTAGGCGATTAGCCTCGCGCTTACAGTTAGAGGAAAATGAACATAAAACAATTTTAATCAAAAATTTTCTCCCAAATATAAGGAAATTTGTGATCTCAAAAGAACCAAATGATCTCGCCGCTGTTGAGTCAGCAGCCAGACTAGCTGATTGTCTGAATCAAGTAGATAAGGAAGCTGAAAATGACAAAAGCAAGGTAGATACACAAAATTTAATGTGTAATATAGTAGAAAATCAGCAAAAAGCTATCAAATCTTTGACTGAAAAGGTATCCCAACTTAGCAGAGAAAAAGGGAAAAATACTGCCAACAATAGATTCATTGATGGAAGGCCAACCTGTCAAAAATGTTTTAGGAAGGGACATTCAGCGCCATTTTGTAGGAGAAGTAGTTCAAGGTCATTCAATAGTCAAAATATCCGCTGTTACAATTGTTCAGGTCAAGGTCACATAGCAAAGTTTTGCTTGGCCAAAAATAGGCAAAATGTCAATCAGACACGTCCAGTTAACTCTTTAAACGCCGAAGGCCGCGTCTAAAGAAGCGAGAACTGAAGTCACGGCCGAAGAAATATGTAAATAGCAATCCTCGCAAGAAATTTATCGGAGATATTGAAATTCAGGAAAATTTATATCAAGATAATGCGATAAAGACAAAATTATTTAACAGCACAGTATGGTGTCTCGTAGACACAGGTGCTCAGATATCATTGATTGATGAGGAACATTTAGAATCCATAAAGGATTATGATATAAAAATATATCCTGAATTTCATATCAAACCTGTTGGAGCCGGAAATGAAAGATTGAATTTAAGAGGAAAAATTTGATTTCAATGTCAGAAAGTTGAGATTGAAGCCGCTCAATAAATATCCTCTCATTTTAAACCAAGAGATCATCATACCTCCTCAGACTGAGATGATTGTTTATGCAAAGGTCAAGGGTAGACCTCCGGAAAATCTTATAGGCGAATGTTTAGCGGTGAATTCGCGATCCAATGTATTTACAGCTAAAAGCATAGGTACAATTACAAATGGTCTTGTTCCAATAAAACTTTTAAACCCGGAAAAACGCGCGATAAAAGTGCCTAAAAATACCAGCGTAGGAACATTTGTCAGTTCAAGGAAGACGGCGAGCACAGTACAAACACTTTTGCAAAAAGAAATGAGAAAGTCAAGATAGATCTATCAAATTCAAAGTTAACTCCCGAACAAAAGGTCAAGGTTCATGAAATGGTAAACAAATACTCAGATGCTTTTGTAGATTCCACCGGCAAGTTAGGTTATTGCGACCTGCTCAAACTCAAAATAAAAACAAAGCCAGGGGAAGTACCATTTCGCCAGTCCCCATATAGAGTGCCAGTTCAGAAACGAGATGAAATAAGCGGACAAGTCAAAGATATGTTGTCCCAAGGAATTATTGAACCGTCAACTTCACCTTATGCGTCACCTATAATATTGGTCAATAAATCGAATGGATCATTCCGTTTCGTGACAGACTTAAGAAAGCTAAATCAGCAAATCATACCTGATAAATTTCCTATACCACATCTAGGAGATTGTTTAGATAGCTTGGGTTTAGTCCAACCAAAGTTCATAAGTTGTCTTGATTTATGTCAAGGATATCACCAATTGCCTTTAGAAGACGATGGGTCAAGAGAAAAGACTGCATTTGTTTGTCATGAAGGGTTGTTCCAATACAAACGGTTACCCCAGGGATTGATTAACTCAGATAGTTTCTTCCAGAGAGTTATGCAATTAGTATTAGCCGGATTGCAATGGAAAACAGTCATCTGCTATATTGATGATTTATGCATATTCTCCAACACCTTTGAAGAACATCTCGAGCATTTGGGTCAGGTATTGGATAGATTATCCAAGGCTGGATTGAAGTTGAAACCTTCAAAATGCAAGTTATTTGTAGAAAAAGTTCGATATTTGGGACACGATGTGTCATCTTCAGGAATTGCTCCCACAAGTTCAAATGTCAAGGCTGTGTTAGACTGCCAATCACCTACTACCTTGAAAAAGTTAAGACGATTCCTAGGAATGGTCAACTTCTACAAAAGGTTCTTAAGTCATCACTCTCAGATAGCTAGACCACTCTATAGATTGACTAAAAAAGGTGTTCCTTTTGAATGGAGTGCTGTTTGTGAGGAAGCTTTTCAAGAATTGAAAAAGAAATTGACTGAGGCTCCTTTACTCAAATACCCTGATTTCAAGAAACCCTTTCTCTTGTTGACTGATGCGTCAAATGAATCGTTAGGAGTAGTGTTAAGCCAAGTTACCGATGGAGTTGAACATCCGGTAGCGTATGCTGGGAGAAATCTATCTGAAACAGAAAAAAGATATCCCACTCATGAACAAGAGGCTTTAGCGGTCGTGTTTGGAACAAAGAAGTTCAACAATTACCTTAGATACAGCAAGTTCACTGTGGTAACAGACAATCGTTCTTTGAAGTGGCTTTTGTCAGTGAAAGAACCTACAGGTAGATTAGCCAGGTGGATAATGCATTTGCAGCAATACAATTATGATATACTGCATAGATCAGGTGCCAAGATGGTTCCTGCAGACTTTTTGTCTAGGATGCAACATCCAGATCTTCCAACAGAAGACCCTGAAGATCTGTCAGGTTTAACTGAATTGTTAAGCGTGAATTCCGTGCCTAGTGAGAGGACAGTCAGTGCAAGGTCACTACAACCCGCTGCTAGCGCACCAATATCTCCAGCTGATGAGGATAAACAAGACGGCATACCAGGTTTAAACCTAGAAATGCTCGGTAAACTACAAAAACTAGATGAAGAATGGAGACCTTTGATAAATTATCTAGAGAATCAATTATTGCCTGGTAATGATATTCAAGCCAGGAAAATCCTGCTCAAAGCAGCTGATTTTGTCTACCGAGACGGTATTTTATACCATCTCTGGTATCCAGACGGTCCGGGAACTAAATTATCAAGATGTAAGGAACAATTGGTAGTTCCCAGAGGA